CAACCCCCTCTCCTCGCCCCAGCCCCCCCCCCAGAGCCGATCAGACCCTGTTGATCACAACCGGATGGATGTCCACTTTTCTCCACTTGAAGTAAATAACCAGCCCCTTTGTTTCGAAGCAGAGCGCTGCCTCTGCAGCACTCAGAAAGCCGTTTGGTAGTTTTGTTTAGTTTTGTTTAGTTTTGTCCCAGCAGCATAAACCCAGCATTCGGGTCAAATAAATAACCCAGCAGTTTTTAGAGTGCGGCGGAGAATTAATCTGCTTCAGTGTCTACATGCCCAAGCATGTAGACATCGTTTTTTGTTTTTTTCTGTTTGCGTGGTTTCCATTTTTAAAAAGAAAAGCAAAACCTGTGAAATGAAATTATCACAAAAGATTTGGGGTGACAGACAAGCTGTAGAAGTAGAAAGTATTGTTCTGCCGTCTTAAACTTATTGTCTGTACACTTTTCTCCACATACGGAAAGCCATTTTGTTTTGAAACATTAATATTTGTGGTGTAAAAAGTTAGAAATAAGATGGCACTCCCTTCATCACAGTAGTTAAAATAAGGGACACTTTGTAGATTCATGCTTAAAGTTGGATAAGAACTGGGCCGACACATGATCACTTTGCGTGGGAATTTGTGGTCATGTGCATGTGTCATATGTGCAGCGAAATCATGTCCGCATGCAGGGCTCTGGCCTATACATAAATGCAGGCAAAACACTATTCATAAGTTTTGTCATCCTCATATCACTCAAGATCAATAGCTCTATACGCTTTCTTTTGACTATGTTTAAAAGAAACAATGGAAATCTATAACGGGGGAACAAAAAAAAGTAAATAAACTCAAACTGAATCGTAACATGACCTGAGGTATGCATCAAACTACAGGCTTAAATCATTTTAAAAGATTGCAAGGTATCATTTCATCAACATGAGCACGTGAGAAAAGTAAGGATGAATCTAGACTTTTGCATAGTGCTGCATATAACTTATTTTGGGGAATAGGAGCTTAAAAAAATCTATATCTTGACGGGAAGTTGTAAGTAAAAAACAAAACAAAAAAAAACAGTAAACAGTAGTTCATGTAGCATGTAATACTCTCAAAATTAAAAAAACACATATAGTATTGACCATAATAATAAATAAAAAAAACATAAAGCTAAATTAGGTCCTTCCGTTGTAAGGGTGAACATTGGCTGCATCCTGCCTGCTAAGGTCAGCTTACCCCTGCATGTGTGCATCAGGCAACCCCACACCCTGTCCCGATCCAACAGAAGTCAGCTGCTAGATGTGCTCACTTGGCTGGAGAACTGAAACAAAGCAACAAGGACTTTCAAAGATTCGGTAAAACAGAGAGGGCATTCATACAGTTGGTACGATTTTATTCTAATCCATACCTTCCCTGACACGCCACAGAGTTAATTGTGTGTCTGGCTTGCAGCCTGCTGCCGGGGATTAGCAAACCCCCGGGGTAACGCAGTTAGACTTTTGACTTAATATGGACATTTGCTCTCTGTGGCTGCCCTCTGCTGGCCTGCATGCACTGCAATATTAGAGTAGCACTAAAGAACTCTTGAGTGCAGAACACAAGGCAATAATAATGGTGAGAATATTTTACATACAGCTAGAACAAATGAAACAGACTCTGCAGTCTGCTGCGTCTTCAACTGGAGGAACTCTGGCAGTTTTTATTTTGTATGTAGAGCACAGAAAAAAAAAATCTATGTATCACATTTAATTAACATCAAGATTTATGTTTGTTACACTGCTAACAAATATAAATGAAATATTGTTATTACAGAATAAATTTTGTGTATTTCTTTGTTAAACTAAAAATGATGACCGTCAGCGACTTGTACAGCCAAATTTGGACTCAGAACTCAGAAATAAAAAAGAAAGTATGGAAGACAATTCCAAAAATGCAAATAAAGTAGTTTGAGTGTGATCTAGGACATGTTACTAAAATGCTGTAGCTATTTAACAAATTCAACCAAAACAATCACCTGACCAGACGCACCTCCATTTTGGAAATTATATGATGACATCACAAAGTCAGATAATTTTGTTATGACTGCATGGATGGTTGAATAGACATCCAATTGAGTTATAAATTGTTAAAAAATATTCCCCAAGATTAAAGGTTAATGTTAAACTAGTCTCACTGTAGCCCTAATCAGTAACTACAAAGTACTAACCTAGCCATTACTGCTAAGTCAGTTATGGTTCCCTTATCAAAACAGTGATAAGGGAACCAGAATCACTGGTTCCTGCTGATCACTAAATATGTTGTGTTTCGACTTGAAGTGTCAGAACCCTAAAGCAAGTTACTCAAAGTAAAAAATGACATTAGAGAACTGAAATTTCTGTCCAGGAAATGACTTTATAATCATAAAACAAACATAAAAACAAAAACAAGAGTAGTTGAACATTTTTACTTACCTAAACTGATCCAGTTTACCTAAATTTAAAATCTTAAGTCGGACACAACAGAGGAAAAATAGTCACGTTACTTGTAAGAGATAATGGGTGTGGATGTGCGGTGTCAGATTTCAACAACAAAAAAAAATATTACCAACAGGCTTCACTTACTTCTCCTTCTCCATCTGCACTCCCATTGGTCAGAGCTGAGTCATTACGGTCCTTCCTCCAGGAAGGAAATGACATGAAAACATCAAGAACTGCTCTCAAAATAGGACAAAAACATATTCCAGTCTGACAAAAGGGCAACTCGAACATGAAAACAGGTGAAGAATGTCTGCTGGAAACAAAGAGACACAGAAAGGAACAGCATGTCCTTATTTCTCCAACCCTTTGATGAGTGGTGAGTTTAACACTTTAAATATGTTATTACAGTAGACATGTCTATCACTTCAAAGTCTGAGCAACTTTTTGCCTTTCACACGAAGATGTTGAAGCCGACTGGTCTCCGATTCACGACGCAGCCTTCAATGGAAACGTTCTTTGTCTGCAAAGACTCATGGCTCAGGTAAAGTTTAACTTCTGGAGTTAAAAAGTTAAAATTCGAATCAGCTTCTGCTGCATGAGATTCTCAACAGGACACACGTTCCTATTTCAAACGTTAGTTTGTGATAATGCTGTGTGAAGCTTTAATGTTTTTCACTACTTACAGTGCCTTGCAAGTGCAATTCTTATCTTTGATCTTTTGCAAACTTTTTCATGTTACAGTCAGAAATAACTGTGGAATTCAATGGGGACTTACAGAAACTAGTGCTATTTTTTTATTTAACATTTCTATAAAAAAAAAGAAAAAAAAAGTGTGCATTTTTTTTTTTTATCCAATGTTTTGTGATAGACTAACACAAAACATTCCAATAAGATAAATTGACTTTTGTCTGTGCAGCCTCTGTTTGGGAGTGAATTTGTGTGTCCTGGTGTGTTTCACAGGGAATGTGTGTAAATCTAAACACACTGGACAAAGTCTCTCCCCTTCATGTAGCATGCCGGCAAGGCCACACAAACTGTGCCAAGCTTCTGGTGGAAAACGGAGCAAATGTAAGTGATTTACAGCCCACAGAAATGAAAAAGAATTAAACAGAAAGCACTGTCAATTTAAAACTTCATGACATTTTTTTTGTTTTTTTTTTAGAATTTCTTTAATAAAGCCTATAATTCTTGCATGTTAACAGCAATATTTAATCATTGAAGACAAGTGAAATGAGTGAGAAATTAACCAAAATGCACATAGCAGCACGGAGGCAATGTAGCTTTTAGCAAGCAAAATGCACAATGCAAAGCAGAGGCCAGGTGTACTGTTCAAAGTTTTCAGGCATTGTTGTTCCCCCTCCCCAACTTCAGGTTAACCACACAACTGTGGACGGACACACTGCATTAACAGAAGCTTCTGCCAGGGGCCATGTGACCTGCGTCTCTCTGCTTCTCAAGCATGGAGCGACTCCCCCCGGGGAAACCAGCCCGTCCAGTCCTCCAATCCACTCGGCTGCAGCCAGGGGCGGATCTACTGGGGTGGCAGATGCCACCCCGAATGAGAGCCTTCCACCCTCGTTGCCAAACCAGCTGGCACTATGAATTCCATAAATAGTTATGGTGTTCTGACTATCAGTGCTACCTCGTCAGATTTTCCTACCGTAGCACGGATAGATAGCTAAGTCTATCTGTCAGTGCTACGTGTCCAAAACTGCTACTGTCATGTTTACAAACAGAAAACTATAGCGGGTTGTTAATGTCAAATGATAACATTATTTGAGTGATGGGACTGAAGCGGAAGCTTAGGATGCTTAGCATAGCACTGGAACAGTTTATATACACGACGAAACCACAAGAAGATCACTTCCTTCATCTGAATATCCTACCCGTTTAAAATGAAACGCTATAGACTAAACCTTTTACTAGAATATCCTACCCGTTTAAAATGAAACGCTATAGACTAAACCTTTTACTAGAATATCCTACCTGTTGAAAATATATATTTTAAATACAAAGGTGTTTGTAAGAAGAAAAACGGTATTAGGCAGGGGAAACACGTTTTTATTGGAATTAAATTAAACGCAGACAAATACAGATCACTGCAACTCTTTTTTGAGCATTAATACATTGTGTCTGTTATGAGATGCAGCGCAGCCACAATGTGTCCACCGAGCTGCGCAGGTTGCTGTGCTCCTGATATGTTTAATATACACTAATAATACACCGCTATTACACAGCTTCAATCCCACATATAGTATCTGTGCCAATATCTATTTAGCAAGGTTTAATAATAATAAAAAAAGAGTGTAATTAAACTAAAATATTTTAAAATGTAGGGATAAAATAGCCCACAAAACAACGTATTTTGTCCTGATTAACTGCCAAACAATGACAGTAGTAACGAAATTGCAGACGGTAAACTAAAGCCATTTATAAATATATTTACATGCTGCCTGTCATGTAAACTAAAAACATTAAGTAATCCAGCAGCTGAATTAAAGCCAGTATAAACTAAATTAAATAAAGCTTACCATAATCTTCGATGAAATAAAACATATGAAACGATACTTCCACGACTAGTAGGACGCATTTATAAGAAATACAAGGTAGGACGGATTTACGGTAGCACAGATAAACAGAACACCAATACCTATTTCAAGGAGTAATCAATAATCCGATTAAAGTTACTTTTTCAAAGTATCTATGCCATCACACACACAGAGCAAGAAAAAGCAGAATGGGCTCTTTGCACGTACGGCAGTGACGTCACATCCGAATGAGCGAAATGCGGCTTTCTTGTTTCCGCTTTGAGTTACCATGACAACTAGAAAAGATAAAGTCATTTTTCAGACGCAAATAAAGCAATTCTATGAACATTGTTGTCTTCCTAATATAATGGGCGTTTAAGTTTTCATGGATTTCCAAACGATCCTGAATTAAGAAGACGGTGGCTTGTAAATATTTGTCGCTACCAGTTAAAGCTAACGCCACACAGCAAAGTTTGCAGCCTTCACTTCACTCCGGATCAGCTTCTTCAGACAAACTACCGGAGGGAGACGGATGGTAAATAAAGGAGCCCTGTAGTATTTCCATGGAATCACTTCTGTATTCCGCCTGAAAGAGCAAGTGGAACGAGTGAGCAGACCACAGCCAGACAGCCAGACAATTGATCCGCCTGTATGCACTGCTGTAAACACCATCCTATTTGAGCTCTTCACAAGAAACACGCTAAGGAAATAAAACGAAATAACACAGAGACCTTAAAGAACATGTTAGCACAACAACTTTGAACCTGAACAGCCAGCTGAACTGGAACTCTGACAGCAGAGCTGCCCTACTGTTAGGCTGTGGGGCTTGTTGAACTTCCTC